TTTATAAGAATGGAATTGGTTGAGGTTTATTGGTTCCTTCTCTGTTAAGAATGGAAAAACTTTTTATTGCCTCTCTCCTTCCTTTGGTTCCTCATTCTCCGCGTTGTTTCTCGGTTGTTTTGCTTCTTGGTTGCTTTCTAAAAGTATCGTTAATTTTTATTATGAATTTGTTAATAATGAAAGCAAAATGAACTAATCTTTCCAAACCATTACTCGCTAATTCCACATGTTTATTTATCGTCCTCCGGCAAAGTATCCCTGTTTATTTTTCTCACTAAATAATAAACTATTCCGACCAAGGCACCTATTATCCCGATAATTAAGATTATCCCTCCTGGAGTTTTGTATCACGACGGATTTTCTGAGGATGGGTTGCTACTCTCTGCTTGGGCTTTGGCAGTCTTTCATTCTTGGAGTTTGGTTTCCATCTTGTTTATCATTTTTTTCAAGGCTTCTTGTTGAATTGAGGAGTAATTAGCGATGATATTATGGTGCTTGTTACCCTGAGTATAACTTTTTAATTTATTTAACTTGTCTTCTAAATCTGTTAATTGAGTTTTCCAGTCAGTATAATCAGATACTACTATAGTTATTAGTTTGGTTAATTCTTTTTCATCAGAGTTAGCCTGATCTCCTTGGGCTCTAATCTCTGCCGCTTTTTCTGCCAGAGGAAAATAAATCTCATCATAATCTTGTTTATTATTCTTATACTCATGTTTATTCATAAACTCGTTTTTGGCGGCTGCGAACTCGGTGGGGTTCTGGGCGTTTTTGACTTGCGAATAATCTTTTTGCCGTTGCTGGGCTCAATCATTTAACTTTTTTAACATTTCCTCGGCATAACCTTGGTCTTGGCCGTCCTTCCTGTATTTATTTATCGCGGTCCAGACCGTACTATTGTGAGTGTCATTTTTGAGGTTGTTGAGAGCATCCAATAATTCTCCTTTGTCGTCGTTGGTAGCAGTGTCAATCTCTTGACACTTTTGCCAGATTTCTATGGCTTTATTTAGGGCGGTTTCGGAGTTCTTAATATCAGTTTTTATTTGCTGGTAAGCATCCTGACCGTCAATTTTTAGCCCAGCCAGTAAAGATTTTAATTTTTGTCGGGTCGCTTTTAGACTTTTTTCTTGGGGAGTCATTAATTTTTCTCGAGCGGTGGCTACGCAATCTGCTCTGTCGCTGTCCTAATTTTTGACTTTTTTAGCAATGTCTAGGGCTTTTTTTTGTTCGGCGTTATTTTTGCTCTCTGAAATAAATTGCTCTAATTCCTGCTTGGTGTTGGACGTAGGAGTGCCATGGGCTTCCTCCAACAATTTCACCAACTTTTTCAGTTTGTTAAATACTGTTTCGGTGAATCCGTCCTGGTCG